CCCTGGGCCCGGGCAGTCTGCGTCGAGGCCATGCAGAGCTGGGGCGGAGAAGGGCGCGGAGGGCACTGGGAGGCCGTGGGGACTCTGGACGGCCTCTCGCCCCCAGGCATCATCGGGAAGAAGCACGTGGGGCCGGAGGCGGTGTTCCCCTTCGACTTCGCGCACACGGAGGAGACCGACTCGGTGCTCCAGGTGGGCCGCAACATCACCAGGATTCGGCTGCTGGTCCGGGAGTTCCTGCAGACGGGGGACAGCAGGTGCGGAGGCCTCAGTCCAGACCCCGGGCGGTGGGCATGCGACGCACCCCAGAATCTTTCCTTAAGAGGGTTCTCCAGACAGTGGAGTGGGGTAGGGGAGAAGGTTCCAGACAGTCCAGTGAACCTGGTCAGAGGACGAGGGCCCTGGGGAAACTGAGGCAGTGAGGCTCGCAGGAGACTCTCAGTGACGGGAGCAGGCAAAGCCGAGGGGGCTCCTGCCCGAAGGAGGGGGCTCCCAGGGTCGCACACCGGGCCCTGGCACTGAGGCCCCGCCCTGCGCAGGCCCTTCTTCCTGTATGTCGCCTTCCACGACCCACACCGCTGCGGGCACTCCCAGCCCCAGTACGGGGCCTTCTGCGAGAAGTTCGGCAACGGGGAGAGCGGCATGGGGCGCATCCCAGACTGGACCCCACAGGTCTACGACCCCCAGGATGTGCAGGTAGGGGGCTCTCCGCGAGCTCGCAGCCCGGCCCCAGGTGTGACTTGGCTCGGAAGTGGCCCTGTGACCTGGGTCCAGGTCCCCTCTGCGGGGCCTGCAGAGAGAGGCGTGAGGACACAGGTGGTGCATCCAGCACCGTGGGCTTGGGGGCTGATCCATTCCCAGGAGGAGGATTCAGGTCCAATTCAGGGCTGGACAGGTCCCGGCCTCTGTGCTGATGTGGCCTCTCCACCCCTCTGCCTCAGGTGCCTTACTTCGTCCCTGACACCCCAGCAGCCCGGGCTGACCTGGCCGCTCAGTACACCACCATCGGCCGCATGGACCAAGGTGGGTCAGGGAGTCCTGGTGTGGGGGTGCCCGTGCGGGCCAGGAGCCTGGGACCTGGGGGGTGTGGAGGGACTCCTGTCTCCGGCCCCTGCCCGACTGTCCCTGTCAGCCCCACAGGGAAGACCTGAGGTTCCAGAAAACAAGGGCAGCGGTGGGCGTGTGGGGTGACACGGAAGTGCCGAGAGAGGGC